TGTCTGAATTCTGCAGGTTCCTAAACTAGGTCTGGGTCTGTGCAAGAGAAGCCTACTGTTGTACTCCACCTCTGTTAGCCAGCTGGAATGTTCTGTTGGTTCAGAGAGGCAGAATTGTAGGCTCCCTTTTGGTCTGGAATTCTTGCCTTAGTTATTCTTCTTCAGGCTGGGCTAGATGCTGAAAGTGAGATCCTGCTCTGAATTTGAGGTCTGAGCCATATCGCAGTAGCTGCTACTGCTGGCTTCGGAAACTCCCCCTTTCCTATTATATTGCCCAGGGCCTCCCCACACCAGGATGCAGCCCTTGTGCACAGGTCCCCTCCTCAATCTGCTCTAGGTCTTTGATCCAAAACTAGATAATATACAACAAAGCTGCCAGTTGGCACCTGTCCCCATCATGGGGCCTTGGTATGAGTCTGGTAGAGCCCTGGTATGGTCTAGAACCTCCTCCTGCCCTGGTGCACAATCTCTACCTGGGTTCTAAAGTGCTCCAGGCTTACCATTCTGCTGGCCACACATCTGCAGTATCTACTGTTCTCCCTATCTCATACAAAAGAATGAAGCAATTCTTGCTTTCAGGGGGCTTACATTCTACTAAAATGGACAACATGTAGCTAGATAAGCATATTGTAGGATAAATAGAAGACAATTTGGGAGGGAGGATGCTAGCAGTTGGCAAGATGAGGAAGATTCCATGTAAAAGGTGTTGTCTGATCTGTGTCATGAAGGAAGTAAGGGATTCTACAAGGCAAAGGAGAGGATAGAGTACATCCTGAGGTGAAGGTCAGCCAGTATAAAAGCAGGAAGATAGTAGTAGATGGAGTGTCCTGTGTGAGGAACAGGAAGAAGCCTAGTTTGGCTGGATCATAGAAGGCAGAAAGGAAATAATGTACAAAAAGGTTGGCAAGACTGATTGAGGCCTGGTTGTCAAAGGCCTTAAAAACCAAATGGAGGAAAATGAAGGCCTGAACAAACTAGTAGCCCAGAAAAGAATTAAGAAGATATTCAAGACACAGAGGTGATTGAGACTCAAGGTTTATAGTTTATACCAATAAACTGAGAATGGAAGGAAAGGGAAAACCCCTAGCTAAGATGATTAATCAAGAAAGATGAATACGTCATGTGGGACAACATAAGACCACAGATATCCTTCTTATTTCCCCTTTTTCCAGTAAAGAGCAAGAAAATATTTTCTTGGGTTTTTTTGCATTAAGAAAATCAGAGTACTTTATTAAATATACCACTGAATGAAATAATAACTAATTTCTACTTTAAATTGTTTTTCTTGGTATCTTTCATTTTTACATGACCTTCATTGCTCAACATATCACTCTTACTTCCTGTCCCTGAGAGCCTTTACAACAAAGAATAAAAAAGAGGTAAAGAAAAGATAAGCAAAACTAACTAATGTATTAGCCAAGTCAATGTTAACATGCAGTGTTCCACAGCAATCATTCCCCATTTCTTCAAAGACCAGGGGAAGATGCATTCTTAAATCTCTTCTTTGAGGCCAAACAATCGTGGTAATGAGAAAACTTTTCTCTACATACATGACCTTCTTCTGAAAAGGCTCCTTAAATTCACATATCAATCACATTAAGGAAAGAAAGCAACACTAAAAGACATCAAAATTAAAATGTGGTGACCAATCTACTCCAGAAGGCTGAGGATGGAACCATATTGCCCTATTCCACATAGAGAAGATGAAGACCCCAACAGCAAATGCTGTAAATGCTGTCAGACATGATAGACGTGTTCAGTGCTCTCTCTCTTTCTTTCTCTTTCTTCTTTCTCTGTCTCTCCTCTCTTCTCTCTCCTCCCTCCCTCCCTACTTTCCTTCCTCCTTTCTGCTTTCTTTCCCCCCTTTCTTCTTCCTTCCTTCCTTCCTTCCTTCCTCCACTCCTGACAGAAAAGTGATAGACTCAAGGTACAGAATGAGGCATACATTTTTGGACATGGCCAATGTGGGACTTTGTTTCAATTGACTATGCATATCTGTTACAAGGGTTTTGTTTTTCTTTTTTCAAAAGGGGAGAAGGATGAGGGAGAGAAAATAAGTGTCTGTTAATTGAAAAATTTTTAAATTAAATGATAAAAAAGAAGTATTAGTTCTTTCAAAGCTCAACTTCAATGTCACTCTTGATTCTAGCAACTGCTAGCATTTCCCATTGCTTCTCTCAAAGTAACCTGCATTTACTTCACATGTATTAATATGCCCTCATACATGTATATGTTGTCTCCCTCTATCAAACACGAGCTCCCTCGGGCACAAACAGGCTGTTTAATTTTTGCCTTTATCCCAAGCTCCTGAAATTGTGACTGCATGTAACGGTGCTTACTGAATACTTCTTGGTTCGTTAATCGGTTGGTTGGCTGACTGACTGAAAGTAAGGTTCACTGGAGGTAAGACGTGAGGCTGGGCCTTGAGATCTCAGGGCCATGAAAAGAGCCTGAGCAAGAAAAACCTGCAAGATAAGGATTTGAATCCCACCACTACACTTTCCTTCAATATGATCTGAGGCACATCACTTTACCTTCTCATTTTGCTGAGAATAATTACATTTGCTACATAAACTCAAAGGTACAAAGCTAGGAAAATACTTTGTAAACTGTAAGGTATAATATAAATGTGGGCTGTTGCTATTATCAAGGCAAATGAGCTGAAGGGGAGGGCATCCCAGAGACAGAAAATAATGGTTGTCCTTTATGTAGCCTGCCAAGGTTTGCTAAGTACTTTGTATACACTATCTCATTTCACCCTCACAACAACCGTGTGCAGCAGGTTTTACGGGAGTAATTATCCCCATAAAAACACTGAGGCTCAGAGAATTGGCTTAACTATGATTATACTAATGTCAACAGAAAGATTTGAACCTAACTCTCAAAACTCCAAATACAGTGAACTATATCTTACTGTTTCTCTCATAGGCAGCACAGTGTATAGACTGCCAGGCTAGAGTCAGGTTAGAGTTCAAATTCAGCTTCAAACACTTAGTAGCTGTGTGACCCTGGGCAAGTCATTTAATTTCTGTTTGCCTCAGTTTCCTCATCTGTAAAATGGAGATGACAATAACATCTACCTTTCAGGGCTGTTGTAAGGATCAAATGAGATAATAATTATAAAACACTTAGCAAATTTCCTGGCACGTAGTTGTTGGTCAGTCTCATCTAACTCTCTATGACCCCATTTGGGGTTTTCTTGGCAAAAATATTGGAGTGGTTTGCCATTTCTTTCTCCAGCTCATTTTACAGATAAGAAACTAAGGCAAACAAGGATAAGTGACTTGCCTGTGGTCACAGAGCTAATAAGTGTCTGAGGCCAGATTTGAACTCAGGAACTAATTTCAGGCCCAGCACTCTTTACACTGTTCCACCTAGCTGCCCTGGCACACAGTAGGTGCTATATAAACATTAGCTATCATCAGCTACAATCATAATAGCATTAACGAGGATGATCATGGGCATGTCTAGATGGAAAAAGTTAAATTAGGACAACAGATCTATATCAAACTTCAGAAGTCACCTTGTCTAACCTCTTGCATTTGAAGAAACTAAGGCCCAGGAAGTTTAAATGACTTACTCAAAGGTAGTATTAGAGGTAGGTTTTGAACCAAGGTTCTTTGATTCCAGAACCAAGGCTCTTTCCACTCTACCATACTATTTTCTGGAGTGTGGGATTTATTTTGAGCAATAGCAGAAGATGGAGAGCAGTAGAGTAGCTAGGAAATGGGGTTTTTGGTTTTTAATGAAATTTAGTAGGTTGCCATCAACAGAGTCATGGCTCAGCAGAGTCCACTCTCTCTAGGCAGAAGCTTCCTGTCCTTCTATTAGAGCAAGATAAAGAGAATGGGATGGGATTTCCCCATTCGACATTAAGCTACTCTTTTGGGCATTAGCACTGGAAGCAATAGCCAATTCAATTCAACGAACATTTATTAAGTACCCACGATGAGAAAGACCCACAAGTCAGGGCAAACCCATGTCTCAGCATCCTCTTCACACCGGGGAAAGGAGGAGAAGAAAAGAGGTATTATTGTTGAATAAGTAACAGACATTAGGCACAAACATTTTTTTAAAAAATCATGGAAAAACGCTTTGTAGTTGCTACAAGTGCACCAGGCATTTGATCAAAGAGAATGATTAGCAGTGAATTGAAATCAGAGCCTCTTTTCTCTGAGAAGGGCTTGGCAACCTCAAAATCTGGCCTCTTAAGCAGAGCACAAAGAGTCAGGCCCGATTTCCAGTGGCAAGAGTACTAACAATTTGGAGGCTGCTGCCAGAAACAGAAAACAGCGGCTGGCTTTCTGCTCCAAGAGTTACCCAACCCAAGATTAATTGTTAGAAAGCAACAGGAGTAGGGACTTTTTTTGCCTCAGATGTGTTTCCAAAAGTTGGTTGGGTACTTCTAAACTTTAAAAAAAAATTTTAAAGAAGAAATCCCCTTTAGGTACTTTGCACTTACTTTGGACAAAAAGTTTCAGCAGGTGCAGCCATTATCCAGAGTTAGCAGTTAAGGCTGAAATGCCAAGAGGGTGTGGAAGAAGGGCTCAGTTTTCTCATTGGCAAAATGAGAGCTGTTGGGTTCTACTAGGATCCCTAAAATGTCTGTCTTCTAGATATAAAATTCTTTGTCCTAAGAGGTGCAGGCTTTCCCCAAGTGTGCTGAATTTGAAATCAGAGGATCTGGGTTCAAAATTGGACTCTGCCACTTTATTACCTGTGTGACCTTTGGCAAATCGTTTAACCTCTCTGGACCTCAGCTTCCTCATCTGTAAAATAGGGAAATTGGACTAAGTGGACTCTAAGATCCTTTCTGACTCTGTTATGATCTTAAGATCCTACAACTTGCCAAGTTTAATATTTTATTTTCTAAGGTTTCTTCCACCTATGACAATTATGACAGTTTTACCTCTCTTAAGTACTTAAATATTCAAACATACCTAAGATTTCATTGTTCCCTTTAGGGATTTAATCTTGGTACTTACATCCCCAATATCTAACACAGTGCCTGGCATATAGTAAATCCTTAACAAATACTTGTTGATTTATTGATTGATTGATGTATTCTCTCCCATCTCAAATTATCTGTTATTTACTTATCAATATATATGTTATATCTCACCCACTAGAACGTAAGCTTTTTGAAGCCACGGGATAGATATTACATTATCATCTTTGTATTTCAGCACCTAGAACAGTGCCTGGTACATAGTACAGCTTCCATCCCAGTGCTCATAGTCACTATCCAAAGAGGTAGCTCCTTTAGAGAAGAGGTCACCCAACCCCACCAAATGCTAATTGGTTAACTGCTGCTCACAGAGAAAGCAAGCTGAAGCAAAGCACTCTGAGGGAGAGACAGGGGGCAGTATGTGCCAAGCAAATCAAACCACCACCACCATCTTGACCACCTTCTCCCCGAAAATCCTGATGGAGACCCTGAATCCAAGAGCCTTTGGAATAGGAAATCTTCTAGCGCAGTGATCATAGCCATCATCCTGGGTAAGTGGAGATCAGCTTGGAAACTCCTCCTGCAGGTGCTACAGCTACATCTATTAAAATTGCAGAAAAGAAAATTCTTGTCACCAAAGTCCTTGCCACTGCCAAATTGTTCAGCATTAGAAACTGATATGATTTGATCAGTGCAAATAACATTAAAGAAGAGAAAGTATTATCAGCTTTGCCACTCCACCCTAAGAACCATGGTACTTTTCCAACTCACTTGCAACTGAAGCCTTTCATTCATGTTGTCTTTCCCATTAGAATATGAACTCCTAGAGCAGCCAGGTGCCACAGTGGATAGAGTTCCGGCCTTAGAGTCAGGAGGACCTGAATTCAAATCTGGCCTCAGACAATTGCCACTTACTAGCTGTGTGACCCTGGGCAAGTCACTTAACCCCGACTGCCTCACCAAAAAAAAAGTGAACTCTTTGAGATCAGGGTCTGTCTTCTTTTTCTCTCCACCACTTAGAAAATGTTTGGCACATAGTAAGAACTTAATAAATGCTTCATTTGTTCATTCATTCATTCAGAGTAGGCACTTAATGAATATTTGTTGATTGGCTGATTACTGCTTGTCACCTGAGAATGATCCTAGAGTTTAAATACTAGTTGATGAATTCTTTGGCTAGGACAATCTATGAAATAAAACACACACATACAAAAAAACTGGTCCTTGGTCCTGAGGCCCCCTTCAACTTCTATAATGACAATGGTGAAGTAGTGGGAAAGGGAAGAGAGAGTGCTAAGAATCACATAGTTTTTAGACTACCTATAAACATGAATTTAACATAGATAATCTAAACATGAGAACCTTACCCAAAGAGCAACAAACTGACATATGGCTAAAGGAATTGATCCATATTGACATCTGCATTCTTGATTTAAATGAAACCAGGTGATTTAAGAATGTCGTTGCTAAAGGAAGTTCTCAGTGCTCAAGTTCTCCTTGGACGGACGGATAAAAGAGTTTCTCAGGATTGTTTTCTTCATGTATCCCAAAGTAATAAGAAGTATCATTTATTGGGATATGTTGTCATCTTACTTTGTTGTCCTCATAATCAGCATAAACAAAAAGATCACCATGAAAATCAAAACTAGAAAAGATCTTGGAATTTTTAGCTGACTACAAACACAGCATATCAACAGTATGACTCATCACTCAAAAGAACTTGTGTGATCTTGGATTTCATTAAGAAAGCATGATGTCCAGTCCCATCAGAATCTACCCTGCTCTGAGATTATGACAAAACAACATGGAATTAGTTGATGAAATCAGGGCTGTTTGGCCTGGAGAAGACTTAGAGACAATGTATAGCTAGTTAGGCTACTCAGGTTTTATTATGAAATGCTGCCTCTAAATACAAGTAAAATTCTCTTCATTTTACATATAGGAAACTGAGGCATAGAGGAGTGAAGTGATTCCTTCCTTGGACACACAGTTAGTAAGTGCCAGGGGTGGAATTCAAACCCTGTTTCTTATATGTCACATACCAGATTAAAGTAACTGTTTACAGAAAACCAAGAAACGAATAAGAAAATCTTTGCCTTGTGGATGAACATTGGTGAGGGACCCATCAATGAGACATCCTCCCTCTACATCAGGGGTATACTACCTATAGCAGAAATGGCATGCCCACTTCCCCCCACTCCACCCTTTGCTGAAATAGTGGGAAAAAACCCCCACCAGATTTGGAGTCAAAATCCCTAGGCTCACTTAATAGCTCTGCGACTATGGAAAAGTCACTTCACCTCTCTAAGATTGATTTTCCTTGTCTGTAAAATGGGTATAATATTGATATTTCACAGGACTGTTGTGAAATTTAATGGAAATAATGTACTTTGTGAACTTTAAAGGTCCATATGCATGCCATTTATTTATTATTATTAGTGGAGTTTTAATCTGTGATGGTGGAGGACTTACCCACGTAGATGAAGAAGTACTACATTACCATTGCAACTGCTATTTGTAGCTACCTCCACCTCTCAAGAGTTGCTACTTAGCCTTTATGCACACTCAAGTGCACACACACACACACACACACACACACACACATACACACATGCACACACACAAATATACACATCCCTACACACCACATGCCTGAAGAAAAGGCTTCTTCGGCATCTTTTTTTTTAATCTAATTTTTATTGTTGACTTTTGTTTTTACATCACCTTCATTTCAGGACTTATGAAACATGTCACCTCTCCCCCTCCCAAAGAGACACCCTTTGTAACAAAAAATAAAAAAGTAATAAGGAGAAAACATTGATTTGCCAAAACCAAACATATCAGCCAAGTCTGAGAGTATATGGCATATTCCACAGCTATAGTCCTCCAACTTAACAAAGAACAGAAGCAGATCTATTTTTTTTTAAACTCGTCTCTAGGGTCAAGCTTGGTCATTAAAATTACACAATTTTCAATTTCATTTTATTTCGTATACAACTTAAAAAGGATCTTTGACCTATAAATAAAATAATAATGATGATGGTGCTAATAATTCATGATCCTATATGCATGTTTTAAGGTTTGCAAAACACTTTAAATAGATTATCTCATTTGGACCTCACAATAACCCCCAAGAAGTAGGTGTTATTATCCTCATTTAAAAGATGAAAAAATTGAGATCCAAAGAGATGAAATGACTTATCCAGGGACACCCTAATTACTATCTGAAATGAGATTCAAAACCAGGTCTTTCTGACTCCAAACCCAGGATGCTGGACCCTGCTCCAAGCTTCCTCTCTAAGCATTAAGACGCTGCTGATCAGTATCTGTGAAGTTTAACTAGGTAGCAGACACTATACAGAATACAGAGGCTGCAATCTAAATTAGGCAGGCAAACATCTGCCAGGGGGTTGAGTAAATCTGGCTTTGACTCCTCATGACCAACAAAAGGTATTAAATATTAAGTGTATGATTATAGGTGGTAGAGGGCTGAGCAAAGGAAATATCACAGGCTTCGCTCATTGATAAAGTGCTTATACAGGATACCATTCACCTTTTCAATATACTCTAGCCCCTAGTCGATATCAGAAGAGACTATCATGGTCCTCCCTCCCACCTTCAATCCTGAATTTCTAGCTCTTCTTTGCAGGCTCCAGTCTCCCTAAGTACACCCCACCAATGGCCCTTGTATTCTTGGTAACCATAACCCAGTTACATCCCCACCCACCTTGCCTTTCTGGCCTCTCTTCTTGTCAAGGAGGCCCATAATTTCCATTCTATCAGATCTGGCCCAATTTCTGACCTCTCCCTTTGTCTGTGGTGGGTCAACACCCTTTCCTGGAAAAGAGACCTAGCTTACAATCAGGCTGGCCCCTGGTTCTAGGGACCTTTGAACTTCAGAAATCCTCATGAGCTAAAAGAGTTTGAAAGGGGACATCTGATCCTCAATCTTCAGTCTTTCCTGGCCAGCATGGTGTACCTTTTCAGTCACGAAACCCACTACTGCTCCATGTTGAGTACTACAATTCTATCCTGTAACCATCCATCCATTCTTCAGAATGTGACTTCCTCAGGAATGTCCTCCCCTGTCAAGTCAGAAACCCTGCCACAGCAACCCTGACGTTTGTGCTAAGAAAAGACTTCAGGACTCATTGCCACAAATTCGACATTTTCTGGCTTGAAGAAAAGAAAGCAGGGATTACGTTAAAGAGATGAAAGAAGAATATGAAGATTTCAGTAATGGAAAATGTATTCCATGGTGATAACAACTGTGGAGGGCTGGTGGTTTAGGTCCCATGTCCATGTCACATCAATTTTGTCTTTGTTGGGTCATTTCAGTCATGTCCAACTCTTTGTGAGTCCATGTGGGGGTTTTCTTGGCAAAGATAGTAGTTTGCCATCTCCAACCCATTTTACAGATGAAGAAGCTGAAGCAACAGGGTTAAGTGACTTGCCCACGGTTGCCCAGCTAATCAGATTTGAACTCAGGAAGAGGAGTCTTCCTGAATCTAGGCCCAGAACTTTATCTACTGCACCACTTAGCTACCCTTTTACTATTTGTCCTTTACCATTGTGACTGAGAATATCTGAGGCTTGGACAAAAACCCAATCCCAGAATCCTGTTTCTGAAAAAGAAATGGGAAGTTGGCAACCACATTCTTCTCCCCAAGTTCTAGGGCCTTGGGGGGCTATTCATAGAATCTAGAGCTGAAAGGGCAACTAGAGATCATTTGGTCAAACCCCCTCTTTTTGTAGATGAGGGAGATGAAGTGACTTGCCCAAGGATGAATAAGTTGTAAGCAGTGGAGCCAAGATTTGAACCTGAATCCCCCACATGATGAATCCAACACTCTTTCCCATACTCTGATGTGAAGAGAGGAACTCTACCTCTTGACCTCAAGGTACAAAATTCTAATATTGTTTTTGTTTGTTCAGTAGTATTTGTTTATGTTTTCTTTCAATATGACTCCTCGGGGAAGGGAACAAAGGAGGAAAAATAATGTTTAAGAACTAATTATAGGGGCAGCTAGCTGGTGCAGTGGATAGGGCACCGGCCCTGGATTCAGGAGGACCTGAGTTCAAATCTGGCCTCAGACACATAACACTCACTAGTTGTGTGACCCCGGGCAAGTCACTTAACCCCATTGCCTAGCCAAAAAAAAAAAGAATTACAGCAACTCATAGATATATAGTAATTTAGCCCTACACCATCCTCATTTTACCAGTGACAAAACTGAGGCAAAGAATAATAAAGGGATTCACCCATGGCTGCAGAGCTAATAAGTGGCAGAGATTTCATTCAAAGACATCTTCTGACTCCACTACCCTAAGCTCATTTGGCATAAAAACAGAGAGATTGTTTTTAAGCCTGACATATGAAATAATGAGATTAGAAAAGTTCTAATGTCCCATCCAATTCTAAAAGTCATGTTGAATTGTATACCAGAAGTGGAGTCAAGGATACTTGCAGTGGATAGAGCACCAGCCCTGGAGTCAGGAGGACCTGAGTTCAAATCCGGCCTCAGACACATAATAACACTTACTAGTTTTGTGACCCTGGGCAAGTCACTTAACCCCATTGCCTAGCCAAAAAAAAAAGAA